ACAAACAAACAAAATCTGATTCAGTTTTTTTTTCAAGTTTAATTTCTGGGTTTTAATAAAGTAAGGTAAGTCTCAGACACACGTCGTTTCTCAAAGTGACGTATGGTCACTTCTCAAAGCAATGCATGGTCACCTCTCAAAGTGACGTAGAGTCACATCTCAAAGCCACATATTGTCACCTCTAAAACCACGTATGGTGGAGTCTTTCACTAAGCAGTCGATAAGCACATTTGAAGGGTTTAGATGCAAAAACAGATATATCCAAATTTCAGGTTTTGAGAAAAGAGGATTATTTTATTCACACAAAGCTTTCATTTCACTCACAAATCTGTTGTCAGATTTAAGTAAGCTTTGTACATTACAAACAGGAATCAGTTAGTATTCAAATCTACAGTAATATTTTTAGCAGTTACAGCAGATTTTATTTTCTGTTTTTGTGCAAAATCAGATATATCCAAGAAAACATTTTTATGCAAAAACAGATATATCCAAAATTCACTCTCATACTAAAAAACATCAAGCTAAACACTTAAAACTTCACAACAAAGCAATAAAGTTCACATCCCACATGAAAATTTGAATTTTTTAAGTTAAAAGGTGACCATTCATGATAATAAATTAATCATTGATAGACAGGGTCTTCACATTACGAGAGCTTATTACTATTACTTTAGTCTCTATGGACAGACACAGATGAAGACAGTATGATATTCATAAAATTAGTTCATAAAAACACATTATTTTAAAAGAAAAGTAATGCACTGTTTGTATCATATAGTCAAATTTTAAGTAACTCAGTTTTGCTAAAATGTGAAAAATACTGATACGATAAGGCTAAAAAAATGAGACACAGCGTTTTGTAATCAGACGGCTGACGAACCATATTCAATGCATCTAAAAGACAATGGAATACATGCTGAATTATTTAACTCCACAAATCGAAGTCAACATTCTATACCAACAATATACAAGACACATAATGTCATACTAGAACAAAGAGCGAAATATCATGTAGTGTACAACTAAAAAAGATGGAAACTGAAATTCCAACATCTCACGTTCAATCATCATAAAAGCCATGCACATCAATACATACCCAAACTCACATCTATTCACACAGACACACTCACATTCTGACAGCTGCCATGAGGCGTTAAAGTGACATTCAGGTTTTCTTAGTCAGAATCAGAATCTGAATTTCTGACTGCTGACGTTGGAACAGCCATCATGTCACGGTAACGCCCCGTGACAGCATCACTTGCACCCATATCTTCAAGCAACTTAAACACATCCCTTTTTTTGGCTTCTTTGACAGTGCTTGTTTTCCTCAACACAGGAGGCCTAAAGTTGGACCACGACCTTCCCTGCTTTAGAACACCATGGATGTGAAGGTCTCCATAGTACGAATCGGAAACCTTCACCTTATCCCCACTTCCATCTATACCAATCCTTTTCACAGTAGAAATACTGAACTCCCGTTTCTGTTTAACAAAACGCTGTGTCTCACTTTTAAAATCGAAAGCCTGCCAGTCTCTCCCGTACTCAAAGACCAGGCCATGCCTTCTAAGAATACTAATGTACTGGTCAGGCAGGGTAATGGTCTCCAAACGTTTTATATCCTGGGCTACTCTCCCGAAGGCACGATCAGCTGGGAGGTAGCTGTGACCTCGCACTCGGAAAGTGTACGAAATATCCGTTTGAGGGAAAAAAATTTCCTGTCCGCCAGGAGCATAGACAGAACATTGAAGTTCTTATTCTGCCCATAGGCAGAGTCACTGAATAAGCGAAGTTCACGCTTGGACGTAATTTCCTGCTGGTGAAATTGGACAAAATGATGGAGTGCGGAGGCGATCATATTTGAGTCTTTGTGGTTCTCACACTCCAACCACGTAAAAAACAACCACATCATCCTTCTGCTGAGGGCCGTTTTGACCCTTGTGGCAAATGACCCCAAAGACATACAGATGTAGCTGCCGACTGTAATATGCCGCACCTATAGGAGTCTTCGGGAGCACCTGATTTTCCATCATGTCAAAACAAATTGACATGGAGTCCTCGCTTACGGCATTAAGCTCATTATAAAATTTGCGAGCCCTTCTGCGATGCAGAATATATTCCGCAGCCAACTCAGTTCTCCGCTCTGTCTGAAGATCTGCCTGCTTCCCTTGCTCCTTGTAACGCTCGCACGTAGCGCATCTGTCTGTGTTGGGATGGCCAAATCCAAGATTGAAGTCCCCCCTGAAGACCGTGTAGTACAGGGAATAGGAGACCTGCAAAAGAAAATGAATAAATAACCTTTATTAAAACTCATAACCATGACCATCAAATCAAATCAGTAGAGTCCTTTCTGCCACTGAGGAAGAATGTTGTGTTTCAATAAAGCAGAGTCTTGAGAGTTTGTGTATGTCGGGTTTTTGTCAGCCTGCAGAGTGAAAAATCAACCTTATTCTCATAAATTTTAATGCTTTTCATCTGCCAGAACAAGAGACCTGCACAAGAAAACAGTAATCTTTATTTTAAACAATCAGGAGACCTAAAAAAGGACAAAAGTAATCTTCATTAAAAAACATCAGAGATCTGAAAACGAAAAGATTAGTCGTAACTTTAAAAATTTCAACAAACCTGAAATTGAAAACCATATCGTAATGTGATCAGATGTTCAAAATTCTTGTACAGTAGGGTATTGTTTGAAAGTAGAAGTGGACTGGCGTCTCTATGGTGGGCTGGCTAGGGTTTCCTCCGCTGCACAGACGTTACCACGATTTCTACAAAGTGCGGGTGGTTTTCATTAATTGATTGATTTATTAATCAATGAATAGTTAGTCCGTCAATTCATTAGATATTTAATTTGTCAGTGAATAGATTAAATGATTACTTAATCGGTTAATCAAAAAATAATTTATGTTATCTATCTGTCTATTTATTAATTTATTTTATTATTTTATTTTATTTTTCATCTGTGTTGTTTCTTTTGTCTTGAGAACCTGCGTCTGTCTACTGGGATTCTGCATCTCACTCATCCCGGGTTGCCCGTACAGACGATCCTAATTTTGTTTGCTTTAGTAGAGGTTTTACGGCGCTCGCAACTGCATATAAGGTCATTTGAGCGCCAGAAGATTAGAGGTGTTACAAGAGAGTAACAAACATAATAAAAAAAGAAGGAGGGGAGATAAGGACGATAGATGTCTGATAGGAAAGAAGAAGAGGCAAACCACACCAGAGCACCCGCCAACCACCCACAGACGATCCTATCCTACAGTGCCATACCATTATACTCAAATGAAATTGCATTATTGCGTCTTACTAACTAATACTAGAATATAACATAGCATAAAATCCTGCAGACGGCGCACTGAAAAAAATAAAATAATAATAAGTAGTAATAATAAAGAATTAATAATAATAATTT